CATAATTATCTTGACAAGTCGTCAAGTCGAATGGCACTTAGGTGCTTCCGTAACTTTGGCCTGTTTTGGTGAATATCTCAATATGATTAATTACCATTTCGTGGTGAGACCTCACATTTGTGACAAAGCATCAGCATTAATGTCGTGGGGCTGTGGGCACCACTTGTGGTATTATGGCGCTCTGTTACAATTTAAAATGAAAAAGTGGAAAAGCATTAGCATTAATGTCACGAGATCCTGTCTTTTACTCGACTGTAAAAGTGTCTGAACTATAAAGGCACGGCCAAATAGATATACATGTAATTGGCGTAAAGCCCACATCATGGCTAAACATTCTTTTTTCACAAAAAAGTTGCAGGACTTGGTGGGTGGCTACCGAGAAATGGTTTATTAAGAATCAATAACAGAACACAGTAACTATAAATCCATTTGTATACACTTAAAATTTAAAAAATCTTATATTTTAACTATATCATTTCTTAACTTCCCTCTATCTAAATAGTGATATTTAAAGACCTCTTTCAGTGCTTGTCTTTTAATTCTTACGGCATTGATGAAAAACACCATGGAGGTGATCAATTGTTTACCGTTGTTTTAAATAAAGTTTTTATTATAATTAGAGGAATTCTAAATAGAAACCAAAGCCGCTAAAGACCACCCTGGTCCCAAAAAGTAGGTCTTTATTTGGCGGGAGCGGAGGAGGTTGCACGTTGTGTGTGATTGATCGGCATCCAATGACCAGGGCAAAAGGCGCTGTATAAACGCTAAAATAAAAAAAGCATTTTGCATAAAATTAATATCTGAAGATGAGCTCAAACCTGTGTCAGTAATAGCTAAAAAGTACTAAACCATCATCTTAAATAGACAATATGAGAAATAGTAAGATGTAGGGATACACATTTTCCAATAAATCACAGTACAGTAAAACTAGAATAGACCATCAAGATTTACCGATCTCAATCAATCTCTCTATTCGTTTTTCAAACCAGATTATTTTGTTTTACAGTATTGTCATATCTCTATGATATTGCTATATGTTCAGCTTGTACTTTTGCAACTTTTCGAAACTCCTTGACATGACTTTTTGGACACTGCATTTCACACCAGCTGATTGGTACCATAGTTGCTCCTAGAAAATAAAAGTATGATTTAACATTTTTGCAAAATATATTTTAAACTAGACCTGTGCCAGGGCTGTAGCTTATATTTTTATTTATTATAAATTACAATTTGTAAATACTGAACAGGTGCAAATTTATAAAGAAAATAAGGTTGGTCCTATGTGTGTGTTTACAAAAAATTAATCGTAATTCACTATTTTTGCACTAGCTGTACCTAAAATTTGCTGAATAGGGTTTTTGATTTAAATTATGTCTTGTGATTATGCATAATGACCCCTGCAACTTTTGTCCTTTGACCTTAATTTACATTAAGAGCATATTAAAACATAATAGGGAGCTTTTGATTTGTTTGACGACGCGATGCTAGAACGGAATCACTCATGCATGACCGTCCTACCTAGTGTCCTACATTTTCTGAATACGTAGATTCTACTCAAAATCTACTCGAAGAGGTGACCTTAACGTTCTCGCATGCGCAGCTGACTTTTAGTGACGTCATTACATTCTACGTCCTACCGTCGTCGTGCAATCGAAAGCTCCCTAATATTTACAATGTTCTATGTATCATCCGTAATGAATAAAAAATATGGAAGACTGAAATTTTACCTATGAACTTTGACGTATAATTTCTTTTCTTTTTTCATGTTTAGAAAGCCCTAAGAATCATTCCTGGTAAATTTAGCTCAATTGGACTATTTTGAATATTTGACCCCAATGACCCCTGATCTTAGACTAGGGTGAAGGAGGTGTCACTCGTTCCTAATGACCAAATTTGATTCAATTCGTTCGAATCGTTTGCCATTAGTAGCATATTAAAATGTTACCAGGAAAAAAGAAAATAACCCATAAATTACCTTTGATCCTAAATTCCTGAACACCATAAAGACCCTACCTTATGCCAATGCATATACTCAGGACAAGACTGTGCTATGTTATTTGTGACAAAAGAAGTCCTTAATGACCCCAATGTGACCTTTGACCCCAAGTTGTAAAGCCCCCATAAACTCTGACCAGGTTTTAGTAAAGTCGGTCCAGTAGTTTGCTACTATTAGCATTTTAAAATGTTGCCAGAAAGAAAGAAGAATGGCATAAAAACATAAACCGGTCGGCATCATCGTCAGCATGCTGCTGACTGAGTAAAAATCTACACAACAGGAACTGAACCCAGTTAAGTTTAGTAGTACTGATACAGTATTTATTAGTCCCCATTACAATAATAGAAAGATTGATTGAATAATAGATAAATATGCTCACTAAATGTTATTTAATATGAATAAATTTAACTAAAATTGTCATGCTCGAAAATTTAACACAGTAAATATTGGCCGTACACGAGAAATTGTGATTTCCCTTGACATACTTTCAATACTACTGCAAGATACAACTGCATGTTAACTTTGCGTTGGCATATGCTTCTTGTTATAACAAACTCACAGGTCTTTGCAATGTGTTGTTTGGTTTAGGAAAATATTATCCTACAGGTAAAGAAAATGCACATAGAAAAACAATATCAAGACCATGAGCAAGTGACATCGTAACGACGAAGAATGTGTTGGTGTTTAGAAAAATACTTGGGAAAATATTATCAACAAAAAGTGGAATCGGGTGCGATCCATGGGCCGCCACGGGTATGTAGTCGAGGTCAAATATGGGGTGCCAAACGACACACTACCTGTTCTGTCATACAAAACCATGTTTGTAAGGGACAAATCATGTTTTGTAATATACGAAAGTTATTCTGTCTTTACAAAACATATTTTGTAAAAGACAAGACCATGTTTATCTTTACAAACCATGTTTTCCCTGTACAAAACATGTTTTGTAAAAAACAAAACCATGTTTGTCTGTACAAAACATGTTTTGTAAATGACAAAAACATGTTTTGTAAATGACAAAACCATGTTTGTCTATACAAAACATGTTTTGTGAAGACAAAACCGTGTTTGTTAAGACAAAACCATGTTTGTACAAAACATGTTTTGTAAATGACAAGAACATGTTTGTGAAGACAAAACCATGTTTGTCTATACAAAACATGTTTTGTAAAAGACAAAACCATGTTTGTCTTTTACAAAACGTGTTTTGTAAGAAGAGACAAAACCATGAAAAAGGTAGTGTGTCGTTCGGCACCTTTAGGGCCTTTTTTGTCATGTTTGTAGGGGACAGACATGGTTTTGTCTCTTACAAAACACGTTTTGTCAGAGACAAACAGGGTTTTGTCGTTCACTCAAACACAAAACATGTTTTAGGCCCAACTCATCCTAATTTGAACTTAATACAATCTTGCAATCGCTATTACATCAACATTAAACGTTCTGCTACACTATCTAGAACCCGCGGGCTACTATTCTACACATAGGCCTGTGCTGCTAGGCCTAACATTTATTTACAGTAGATACACTGTAGGGCATGATCTAAGCTAAGCCTGCAAGTACCACTGCCTGGAAATGTAAGGACAACACTTTCTACACTGGATGTCCATAGAGTTTGAAACTGTGGGCCTCAACAAAGTGTAGGTTTGGTTAGAATCTAAAGATGTTCTGTCAAAATATTTTCAAATCGCATAGATTAAGACTAAGACTGGCCTAGGCCTATGCTGTAGTATGATGACATCCTAGTACATGAGGTTGTGAAATACTGCTGTCTGCATATATTCCTGTTTTTTTGTTTTTTTTTCATTATGTGAATGTTCAGTAAAGTAGTAATAATTATGTATTTTGATATGAAATTAAAAGCACAAAAGGAGAAGAATGTAGGCCTAAAGTACTGTTCACCAATTCTAATAATCACAAGAAAGGATAGTCAGCAATATATTATGCGATCCTTTTCAATGATTACTATTGTTAAGTACCTTGTTGAATGTACTGTAAGCAATATGTTTCCTCATATTTTAACAGGGAAAATATGACATATATTTTAATATATTATGGAAATATAATGAACCATATGTTCAGGAATCTATCAGGAATTTGTATTTTGCATTTTTATCATTTTTTTTTAAACATATCCTATGTGATGAGGTAATTGAAAAATTAAATTAAATATTTAATTGTTTGGAAAATCAATATTTCAATTTGATTTTTAAAAACTAACATGTTTCATATTTCACTGGATTGTGTATCTTTAACATACATATGATGATTGCTTTTGAGTCAATCTTTCTTTGGTGAATAAACTATACAAACTTTTGGTGATTGTAGATAAAGATTACTGTGACTACATAATACAGTAGTTACATTTTGATATGTACAGTATTTGGCTACTACCACTTAATTGAAATAATAAACTTTAGATGATTGTGCATTGAGTGTTTTATGTGTAATCATAATGGTAATATAATAATCAATTAATTGTCCATAAAATAAAGGTTATTCATGTCAAACTTTACACTTTCAAACCGAGTATGTGATACTGTAAAGCAATTTGTAATGGCAAAATAAAATAAGAATAATGAGTTGGATATTGTCAATTTCACTCTTCTTTTTGAGGCATGATGTTTATTTTTTTTATACTGTTATTGTATAGTAAAATATATTTAACTAAAACATATGTACTTTTCAACCTTATAATGTTTATTTATTTACTTTGTTATGTTACCATGACACTTCACTATCAAGCTGATATGAAATCTAGTACTGTTTTAAGTACTGTTAAGTTATGTCTAGGGATATTTTCAAAAATCCTATAGCTCATTCTTTTTTTAAGGTCAGCCAGCTCACTATTTCCATAAAGAAAATTGAAGAAATTACAATATTTCAGTGACAACTCATTTAATTTATGTTTACTTATTACTTTGTGTGGAAATTGTACCTACATATTATCTAGTCACTTGACTATAGCCACTCCATGAAGTTATCAAACTTCTATAGTGAAATATATGTTTCATTCAAGTTTAAATCGTACATATATGTTCACAAGCCACGCAAACTACTACCTCTAATTAAAATATGATTACATAATGGTTGAGTAATTCACAGATGACAATAATTTCAAATGAAACTAAGTTATCACACATTTATAGTTGGTCTCATTCAATTTGGGTTTATTTATAACTTTTTAGCTGTGTGTTACCAACCCAATTGGCTATCCATTTCATGAAGTAGATGACATCTGGTGTAGTACTTTATGAAGTATTACTCCTGAAAGAAGGCCCAAAAAGCAACTTTTTTAATAATCTGACAAAATCTCAGATTTCTGGGCCTTTGAAAGATAGGTTTATTTTGACAAGTTTAAATTTTGCATAATATGTACAGTATTAAGAAGCCAACCAGCTACACAAAACGCCAAATATCAGTGTGACAGGTTACTTAATTAGGTAGATATTACTATTCAAAATTTACTCCAGAACCAAAAATATCATATTTACACATATAAATTGCACTTTTTTAGTTACATTCATTTAATGTAGGTTTACTTTTGTTAGCGCAAGTATTTCCTGTGTGTTACCAAGTCATTTGACTACCCATTCAAGATGGCATGATGACATCTGGTTGATTACATGTTCCCAAAATCCAAAAGTGCTGTTTTTGGAAGAAGGAGCCAATTTTGACGGGTCATTGCAAAAAAAAAAAAAAAAACTTTTAATATAATATGGAAAACATATTCAGTTAACAATATATACTCTAAAAGTACACTCTGAATGCAGAATGGAATCCATGAAGGAAGCCTTTTCTGAGTCACAGCTTGTGGCCCTTGGCATAGTATAGTGTAGTAACCAAAATATATGGTAAGACAAATATTGACCAACATGGGCTTGGCCACCTATACCAAGGTGTATATTTTGTACAGACAAACATGGTTTTGTCTTCAAAAAACATGTTTTGTATAGACAAACATGGTTTTGTCTTCACAAAACATGTTTTGTATAGACAAACATGGTTTTGTCATTTACAAAACATGTTTTGCACAAACAAACATGGTTTTGTCTTAACAAACATGGTTTTGTCTTTACAAATGTTTGTACAGACAAACATGGTTTTTTCTTTTACAAAATATGTTTTGTATTACAAAGACAGAATAACTTTCGTATATTACAAAACATGATTTGTCCCTTACAAACTTGGTTTTGTATGACAGAACAGGTAGTGAGTCGTTTGGCGCCTTGTATCGAATATAATGTTATTCAACCTCCACTGCACACACGCAGTCCATGCATCACACCTGATCCCGAACTTGCACTGTAAAAACAATACAATACAAAGACTAATCGCCACGACAAATACAGTGGCGTAACGCCTATGCGCTCTTATGCTGCGTTCCGCAGGGCCCCCGAAATCTAGGGGCTCCGAAGGGGCCCTACCCATAGGTTCCTCGATCTAGCACCCTGACCAAAAAGGACTTTGTTGATAAATAACACCATGTGTCTCCGAAATCGACTGTAGGGCATATATCATATTATAACGATTAAAGAGAGGGGGACCCATCAGTCCGACGGGCCCCCCCCCCTTCAGCCCGGGACCCCACCAAATTTGTCAAAAAAAAATGATATACGAGATAAAAAGAAAATTATATACTCAATTTTAAGTCTGTGAGTGCCATTTCCGGCCATCTAGACGTGCCATAATAATACATTTTCTTTTCTCAGCCCCACAAGGGCAACAGCATAATATGTGTCTGAAATCGACTGTAGGACATATGTGAGGCCTCACCACAAAATGAGTCTCATGGTTGGAATATCAAAATTTGAGTTTATATTATATTTGGGTAGATCACATTATAATCTTTAATTTGGTCTTTGAATGGCTTCACTAGGATATATGTAGATCCAGAGATGTGAGCATTTAAATATTATGTGTAAAAGAACCACATTTTGAGAAAATCGACCTCCAAGATAAACTAACCTGTACAAATAATAGGACTAGAATTACAGAATATGCACAGAGAACACTGTTTTAGTAAGAAAATTCACCTAAAAAGTATACAATCATTAAATATAAATGTCAAGTTATCAAAAAACATTAAAATCAAAATTGTGTAAATTTTTGACTTTGACCTATTTTGGTGATTATCTCAATGATTTCACCAACGATGCGTCTCATTTCGTGGTGAGACCTCACATATACTATATCCAGTGGCGGAATAAAGGCTGTCTCTTATACACATCGTTGCCGACCTGGATCTGCTGGCCCGTGGCCCCACTAAATTTTTCAAAATATTTTTTAACTGGAGATAAAAAATAAATATATTCACAATTTTATGTCTGTGAAGTGCCATTTCCGGCCATCTAAGGGTGCCATATTCATGAATTTTCTTACCTCAACCCCAACCATGGTGGGTCTGAGGTGGTATAGACTCAAGTATGAAAGTCCCTCCCTGGCCTCAATTTTCTGGATCATTATTATATCATTTATTCATCGTTAAAAACATTTAGAATAACAATTATCAAGAATAATATTCACAATTTTATGTCTGTGAAGTGCCCAAAATGGGCCCCCAGTTTCAGAAATACACAGGGCCCCCAACCTCATCGTTATGCCACTGGACAAATATGTTCTGTTTAGAATAAAAATTATCAGAAATGCACATAAAACAATTTCTGTACGGAAAATGGACATCATGGCCCAGCGGTTCAACTTCACACCAGACAGCATATACATGCGACGTTTCAGCTTTCTTTTTTTTTTTGATGCAGACGAATACTAGGTTTTTTGTAGTTAACAATATAAATAAAAATGCACAATCTCAAGCAAATCCAATAGAAATCTCAAGCAAGCCAGTGTGAGACCCTTGACAGGTCTGAATTTGAAAGCGATATTAGAAATGAGTGAGGTAGGAAGGCACATATAAGATAACAGTTGGTGTAATTGGAGGAGAATAATGCAAGAGGCAGCAATGTTGGCAATGCCAGACTGCCTCTCAACTAGGTGTTGATGTGACGGTGATGACAGGACAAGTAGGTGTGTCATGGTCAGGAGTGAAGTTTTGTGATGGTCAGGAGTGAAGTTTTGTGAATGAGATTATGGGTACCTACAAATAGTAAAAGTAGCTGACAAATGGCAAATACGCCAGCAGTGTCGGAATTTGGCGAAAACGCCAAGTGTCGTAATGTGGCGAACACGTTAGTATTGACGTAAGTGGTGAAAATAACTGCTTTACATAAAAAAGTACTAGACTATGGTTTCTATAAGAAAACAATAACTGTACAGTCAATTAGGAAAAAAATGCATTTGTCTGGTATGAAATGATAGGCACTTGGTAGTGTTGGCATAAAATAGTTTCAACAATTGTATACATTTGGGAAATTGACCTGCAAGAACAGTTCATTTGATTAAAAGTAATTCAGAAAACCCCATTGCACACATGAAATTAAATAGCCCTATGTGTATAACAGGTTGTATTTACTTCACATACTCAAATGAACTGTTTTGCAAGTCAATTTCCCAAATTTATACAATTATTTTAATTATTTTATGCCAACACTACTAAGTGCCTTTCATTTCATACCAGATATGCATTTTTTCCTAATTGACTACTGTAAAATTATGGTTTTCTTATATTTTTTGTAATAACTGAAAAATTTCCAGGACACTTAACCAATTTTCGTTCAATAATGTACAAGGCTCCTTCATAGCACATGGGCAAACAATTGAAAATGTGTTTTCCGGTTTTTAACAGTAAAATCATTAAATATGATGGTAATGATTGTCTCAAAAAATGGCCCGTACTGTTTTGCAATTTGAACATAATGAACGCAATGAAAGAATATGGCCAAGGCAGCAGCAGTGAAATAATTTGATGAAGACAGCTACTGTACATTTGTTTATATCTAAAAAGATGTGATGTCAAGAATATTGGGTCCAGATAGCCTTACCTGCTTCACTGTGTGCTAGCACTACGCCAAGTTCATTTGCAGATGTTGATAACAGGTAGGATTTAGAATCTCCAAGAGAAAGCTGTGATAAAGTATTCAATATTATTGTAAAGTCACAACAACACAAAATAATAGATTCATATTTGTTCCTTAACAGAAAGCCTTTCCCTAAAAATGTACTAACTAGTATTTACCATACTTTAAAATGTAGTTAATGTGGGGTGTCAACAATTTGCAACCTGGAATATTTAATTGTAACCCAGACTTCATAGCATTGTCACAGACATTTCATAACCTCCAACCATTCATTATATTATTATTTAGCGGGTGCTGAAACAGTCTAGAGTTTATTGGCTTACAACATTGGATTATACAAAATGTAATGTAGTAAATGTTGATTCAACATACTGGTAACCATCACACAAACCTATTTCACAGTACAGTACATACAAACAGCATTTGATTTACCCAGTTTCGCATCGCAAAATGCGACACATTTTAAACTAATAGCGAAGCACTTCCACAAATGCATCACAATAAAATGCGACGCAATTATTTGCCTAGAATTAACCGGCTCAGTCTTCAACAGGCTTGGTGCAATATGCTTGTTTACATTGAATGCACACATACAATGCTACAATGTACACAGTTATACGAACCCTCAGTTTATGTACGCCTCGTGCAGATGTTGAGGTCATCAAAAACCCCCAAAATACCCAAAACAAACGACCCTTTTCAGGGCGACCATAACGTAAATGGAGATGTGTTAGTTTCTGTCTCTTTATTTAAAAACTATGACCATCAGCAACATTGATTTTGTCTAAGTAACACGCTGGTATAATCTAAATCACATGGATTTGAGCGAGATGAACAACATCGTCGGTGCTCAAAATACCATATTGTCTCTCATAAACGCCCCAGGGGGCGTTGCATTTTTTCAAAATTATTAGAGGTGAATTGTAAAATCAAAAATTACCTAAACAAGCTGCTTTAAATGGTCAATAAGTTCTTTATTTGTAGAGGAACAAGTTAATGTGCAGGGTATCTCCAGGCCTCCTGCTATTTTGCTGTTCCTTCGTTTGTTGCTGGTTATTTGAACATCAATAATTCCCTTGTGTTTCAAAAAGAAATGAAATATCTTCGAGTTCTCTTGGGGTAAATGTCCGACGATGTAGCGCGGTGCTTCTCCTTTCACAACAGCAATCGCGTGCTTGTCAAAAACATTGTCGGCCTCATGAACTGTTGATAGAATCTCTTCGATTTTTGGAATCCAGGTTTCTTGGTACACATGGAATCCTCTAACAGCACTTTTAATTTTATATGTATACTGGTACTTTTCTGTAGCAGAACTTGAAGATGAAACGGCCATGTTTAGACAAACATTTTTTTACGCATCAAATTACTCAGCTGACAACCTTTCACCTACACAGGAGTTCCAGTGACATGACAGATTGCACCATTCGCGGTCGGGATTTAAAAGGGAAAAAAATCTAAAAAATGTATTTTTATTGTCTCCTATTGATTTTTGTTTCTCAAATAAAGCATCGTCTGTACAGGGAGGTGTAAAAATAAGGAGAGAGTTCGAAGATCTCAGCCCATCTTAATCCAATTAAGGAGGTGTGCGATATGCTGTTTCCAAAGACACCGCATAGCCTTGGCTATTCCTTAACTGCCTATAAATGCCCTTAGGCTGACCTTTGAAACCTATGATCGCCACCGCTCAAAAGCCCGCCCTCTATCGAAAAAAGTTATAGAAACGACTTCATGAAAATAACGAAAAACCTCATTAATATTAATTACATGCGCAGAAGTATTTGCAATTGAGTTTTTCATGCGCAATTCCTTTGTTGGAAATTCGCGCAAAATTAGTAAGCAAATCCTGCCAAGGTACATCCAATTTTTGATCGTTGCATCCTGTTTTGAAAATCGTCTAAACTGTTGTAGCAAATAAAATTTACGTTGATTTCCTGGTTAGTTTCACCTTATTTTACGGAAAATAGACACCTACAGACACCTGATTGGTTTATAATATAAAGGTAAGAAGCCTATCCGTGAAAAAAAAAAAAATTTTTGTATGACCATTAAATCCGTCTGATTGGCATCGAGCGGGTCGTGACGTATGATTTTCATCGGTCGGGTTGACGTGTGGCGGGTTTAGTTAGGAAGGTAGACGGAGGCCTAGGTCTAGGTTAACAAAATTAAACGGAGGCCTAGGCCCTTGGTTAACGAAAATTGTTGAGTTTGTGTTATTGATTATTTAATTCGTAATTATTTGATTTAACTGAACCGGATTAGGCAATCTCCCTGGCTAGGGCCTAGGCCCACCCTAGTCTAGGCCTAGGTAGTAGGTATATCAGTCAATACAATTTATTTTTAGAACAGGAGATTGCAAATCATTGTTTTTTAGACTCGATGATGATAGTATTAAACAGCTGCATTCGGATGTAAAAATAAATAATATAGGTCTAAACAGATCAATTAAATGATAGTCAATACTGCATAAGAATATATATAAAAATCTTTAAATCTGTAGGTCATGTATAAATAATTGATAATCTATTAATTACTGTAGATACTGTAGTATGTAGACATAAAATAATATATTATTAATTTTAATTTTTTCATTTATATTAATATTACATAGTTTTTTATTTTTACACTATTTATAATTATTATTATTATAACTAGAAATGTTCCTTTTTGTTCTTAGGACATGGATCATCTTTGCCGACTGTGTGGTTCTGCCAGAGTTTTCGTTAAAGGGAGATGTCCATACGAAAAAGGAAGGTTTGCTTTGCAAGTTAGTCGTGCATTTGGAATAGATCTTGAGGCGATGAATGCTTCCCAAAATATGTCTGTTATAATTGTGTTGAAGCATTACAAAGACGGTGGGATAAAGCAAAAAAGAATAAGTCTGTAACCATAAATATAAATATTGTAGACTTTACAAACAAGAATACTGATAGTATAAGAAGGGGAGTGGTCATTGGATGCAGAGAAAAGCTCGGTCTTGTTCACTGGACTGAGGGTGAGCTACACATGTTTGGACCCTTGTCCAGTAAAGGATATGCAAATAAATGCACTTCAGTGAGATTTCTTGGGAAGTGTTTTGCAATGGCATAAAGGTGTCCAGAACAGTCAACATCTTCAATAAGTTTGGCAATGTTTTGAGAACAGAAGAAATTGTGGAAATGCTAACCATTGTTTCTCAAGCTAACATTTGTGTTGGCAATTTCGATTTGACAGAAGCTAGGCAAGAACAATGTAAAATGCTCACAAAAAATGCTGGATAATTAGAAGTGACCTGATGCAAAAAGGAAAAAAAAAATTCATGTTGATGACGACTTGTTGCGTTCAAAAACTAGAAATGACTGTCTAGAACGCTCAGCCTTGCTAAAAAAGGCAACACTTTTGAAAGAACAAAACTTAAACTTGAAAAGAAAAAGCAGTGGCCGCAAAATTAAAATTGATGAGCTAATTCGAAGTGAAAGCACAGAAATATCACCTGTACAAACTGATTGCATTGCCGCTGCCCTAAAAGACAAGGAATTTGAGTCTATTTTGGAAGACAAACCGGCTGCCAAACTCCTTTGGGCTCAGCAGAAAATGGCTTTTGAAAAAGATAAACAGATGAGATGGCACCCAGCAGTTTTAAGGTGGTGCATCGCTCTGCATGCCAAATCAACGGTTTTTTTAAATGTCTACATGCAAAAACATTGCAAAAATACACGCATTTTACATCCCCAACTCCAGGCATTAATGAGAGCTATATTGAAAGGGTTTGCCAGGACAACAATATCAATGTAGATAGTATGGAACAATATGAACGTAATGTTTCGCTACTTATAGATGAAATGAAAATTTCTTCTGGTTTAGTGCCGTTGCCTGATACAACTGGTCTAACTCTAGAATGAACAACCACATATCATCTATAAGACACAAACTCAACTGCCCAGTAAGTGTACATTTTAATTCACCTAATCACACCATCAATGACTTTAGGGCTATAATAATAGGTTGCAATTTTAAATCAACACAAGAACGACGTAACGCAGAAATGAAATGGATAATCCGGTTAAAAACTCACATTAAGGGTCTAAATAAGGACTTAGGCTCTACATGTGATTATGCCTTCATACGCAATATTTCTCTATGAATACAGTATCTAACTATATATAATATATATTATTTTTACAAATGTACATTTTATTCATTGATTTCTAAACTGTATTTTATTTGTCATCATGACATCATGCATTATATTAAGCCTGGTTTCCTGTCGACGTAAGAAGGCAGATTTACTTACGACAACGTCGTTTTATCGTAACAAAATGCGATTTGACAGGAAACCGATTGCGACTGGTGCGTTGTGAAATCGACGTAACGTAAGGT